GCTTTAGTAATAAAGGTAGGGGGGTTCATTAATTGACCAATTGATGTGCAGAAGAACATCTGAGATGAGAGAGGAGGGAGGAGGGAGATCTGAGAGGAAGGAGAAGGGAGAAAATAGAGGAGAAAGAGAATGAGGCGGATTAGGGACTTAGGTCTTAGGGTTATACAGATTTTTTTAAAATGGTAACAAAAAGTGTGTTTTTCGGATTTCGGATCGGATATCCATATCCGATCCGATATCCGAATTTTTTTCGGATATTCGGATATCCGAAATAGAAAATTTTGATATCCGATATCCGATCCGATATCCGAAATTTTAGGATCGGATATCCGATATCCGATCCGAAAATGTTTTCGGATCGGTTATCCTAAATTTTTGGATCGGATGCGGATCGGATTTTCGGATTATCAAATAGTTTTGCTTAGCCCTACGGAGTCGGTTGCAACAGCTTGTTATATAGTAAATCGATCCCCACATTCGTATTTAGATGGAAGCACACCTTATAAAGTGTGGTCAAGGGAACATGCAGATTACGAGAGGCTTAGAGTCTTTGGATGCACGGCTTATTATTATGTTAAGGATAACAAGCTTGACGAAAGAGCCAAGAAAGCAATATTTTTGGGGTATTCAAAACGGGTTCAGGGATATCGTCTCTAGAGTGTAGAGGATTCTAAATTTGTAATCAGTAGGGATGTGATCTTTGATGAAAAATTTATGGTAGATTTATCGAAAGCTATGTTGCCTAATGATGGTGATGTTGGGATGACTACAGATACTCAAGTGGTGGGGATAGAATCTAGAGACCAACAAGATTCTAGTCATGTTCAGGTGGAGCATCCTGGTTTTACTTAAGAAGAGGAGAGGATGAGCTTGATCATGAGGAGACTCAGCAGGAAAATGCACATCTATTACAACAACAACAACAAGATTCTTTGGATCAACTAAGCCAAAGAGGAATTATTAATTAGTTCAGAAGTTTGGGTCAGACGAACCTTTGAGGCATTATGGGCAGGTTAACTTGGTAGAATATGCACTCTCGATGGAGGATGATGAGTCGGTCACCTTCAAACAAGCTATCAAAGACAAGGATAATGAGAGTTGGTTGGTTGCTATGGAAGAAGAGATGCAATCTTTTCATAAAAACAAGATATGGAGGTAGTCCCATTGCTTGTAAGAAAGATTGCTATTGGTTGTAAGTGGGTGTACAAAGGGAAAGAGGATCTTTCCAAGCTAGATAAAGTAAGGTATAAGGCTAGGCAAGTGGCCAATGGATTTGCATAGAAAGAAGGTGTTGATTACAATGAGATATTTTCTCTAGTGGTAAAACATACTTCTATTCGGGTGCTGTTAAGTCTTGTAGCTCATGGAGATCTTGAGTTGGAACAACTCGATGTGAAGACAACCTTCTTACATGGTGACTTGGATGAGGAAATCTATATGTATCAACCTGAGGGGTTTAAGGTTGAGGGTAAAGAGAATCAGGTATGTCGCTTGAGAAAATCACTTTATGGATTGGTAGGGGTCTCTTAAGGATTGGCTGACTCGCAATCTCAAAGACTCGAGCAAATATTCGGATGATTGGCTAACAATCTTTGGTGTTACATTGTGGTGGATTTGGAGATGGCGTAATTGTCGTGTTCATAACAGAGGAGATGAGATTCTTGTTGATTTAGGTGCTTTTATACGCATAAGATCAGAGTAGCTGAGATTATACACAACCTACAAAATCAACAAGAATTGCAAAATTCAGCACAAGGCAACAAACAAGTGGTCAATATTTCTTGGCAAAGACCTGATTTTGGATGGTATGTTCTCAACACCGATGGTGCAGCCAAAGCGAGTCCAAACTCTGCAGGAGGAGGTGCGATTATACGTGACCATTAGGGCCAATTTATTTCGAGTTTCTCAGCTAACTTTGGGCATTGTATAACCTTCAAAGCTGAAATCATGGCTGTCACTCGAGGCATAGAGCTAGCCAAAAATCTGCAAATTAAACAGCTAGAGGTGCAGCTTGATAACCTAGCTTGTGTGCAGATTTTGAAGCAAGGAGAAGCAAGAAGTGAGAATGTTCATGATATTAACTATTGCCTGAGAATGTTGAATGATGCAAGTTGGAAGGTGAAGGTAGCCCACATCTATAGAGAGGGGAATCAAGCGGCGGATTGGTTGGCCAACTGCGGAGTCACTCAAGACACAAGTTTAAAAATTGTTAATTTAATTTTATCCCGGTAGAGCTTGGTAGGATCTTAATGGAGGATGCAAGAGGGGTGACTTCTCCTCATCTTGTGCCCCCTTAGGTCGTGTGTTTAGGGGCTGTGGTTGAGGGGTTGGTGTCTTGTGTTGGTTTTGTTTGTCCTATTTTGTTTGTTCTGTTCTTTTTTCTTTTTCCTTGTTTGTATTTTTCTTCTTTTATCTTGGATTTTATCCTCATTCGAATAAAAAAAAAAGATCATAAAATTAACCGATTGTAATGTACAACTGGATATCATATATAGGGATGTCAACGGGGCGGGGCGGGGCGGGTTTTTGCATTCCCATCCCCATCCCCGCCTCACATTTCCATCCCCATCCCCGTCCCCATCCCCACGGCGGGTCTGAAAATTATCCCCATCCCCGCCCCGGCGGGTCCAACTCCAAAACCACCCCCGCCCCATCACCATGTGGATATCCATCCCTGTCTCAACCCCACGTAATCCCCGCCCCGTACCCACCAACTCCCCACCTTAAATCCACCACAAATAACATATTTAAACCATTATAAAAAAAATAAAAAAATATGTACTACAGTCTACAGGCCTACAGTTAACAGCTCAAATAAAAAAAAAAAAAAAAATTAGCAGTACATACTTAACATAATTAAAAAAAAAAACACAGTAACTAATATAATACACTCTAAACAAATAAATGTAACTCTAAATTGTCTAAAGTCCAAATATTAAAAATACATAATAATAACTCTAAGCCTTCAATTATTCTGTGTAGTGCAAACTTCACTTGTACTGGAATCGATATCTCATGTTTCAAATTCTTCCACTAATTCTCCCACCAATTTAGCATATTCATCATCCTTGTATTCTCTACAATCTGAAAATTCAATGTGACTTAATTAAAAAAAATAATAATAATATTATTAATTAAATAAGATTTATAACCACCCACAATTAAAGAGACCAGAACAAGGGTAATAAAAATAAAAGTATGCCCTCTGTCCAGAACTTCAAATTAAATGAAATTATCAAAACATTTTCTAAACTAATATCAATATCATGCAACTCAAAAGTACAAGTAATTACATTATACTCGGAATAGCAAATTAGCAACATGTATATCCTATAAACTAAAATTTGTAGTAACTCATAAATCATAACACCAAACAATTCAAAGTATCAGACGAATTAGAGTCAAATTAAACATTCAGAAATAGATTAGTTAGAATCTAGGACAGAATTATGGCTAATCAATTTCTTAGTTGATTTGTCAAATTCTTTTTCATCAATAATTGGGGAAAAATAATTGGGAAATTAAAATAAATAAAAAAACGAGTAAGAGAGATTGAGATAGTACCGATTATATAGGAAGAGGTAGGGATTATGTAGATCGGAGTGTTGATCAGCGCACAACTCAGCGGCGAGATTCAGAGGTGGTGATTGTCTGATTGATAGAGCTTGAGAGGAGAGGAGAGGAGAGTGAATGAGTGATAGTGTCGGCTAGGGTTGAGAATGAAAATGAATATGGTTTTTTTTTTTTTTTTTTTCTTCTAGAAGTCTAGTGTCTAGAGACTTCCTTAATCAAGTCAGTAACATTTTTTTTTGCTGTATAATATTTAACGAAATATGTTATTGCATTATATGGGACGGGTCGGGTATAATGCGGGTATGGGTCAGGTGTGGGGTTGGTCAGGCGGGGCGGGTATGGGGTGGGTCAGGCGGGGCGGGGATGGGGCGGGTATTACTTTAAATCCACCCCCGCCCCATCACCCATGGCGGGTATGGATTTTAGACCCATCCCCGCCCCGCGACCCGCCAAAGCTAGACCCATCCCTGCCCCATCGGGGCGGGGATGGGGCGGGTCTCCTACTAGACCCGCCCCACTGACATCCCTAATCATATAGCACAAAATTTTGCTCATTTGCATAAAACGAGTAATATTTTCTCTGCTCATGAATAAATAAAAGTAAGTTTCTATATCACCTCAATAACAATAATAATTATTCTAAAAATTCAACCCATATAAAGTTTGCCACTTTGCAAACAAACATTATTTATACTAATTTAAATAAAATTGCGCAAAGTTGAATTTATATGTCAAAAATTTTTACAAGTTTTACTCACCTAAGTCAAATGAACAAATTCTACAACATGTACAAAAGCATGAGCTGATATTTATTTTTTGGGAAAAAATGGATAAGTTGAAAACAAATCATCATTGTTTTGTATTTGTGGGAAAGATGAATAATAAAATAATAATGGATCCTTATTAAATAAGGAATTCTCACAATTAATCAGAAATGGGAGAAATATGAAAGTGATGCAAATATTTTACCAACATTTATAATATTTGGTGAAAATGGATAATAATTTAAAACTTCACAGAATGATTTTTTTAACTAATTGATAATAACAATTTTTTAAATAAAATTTCTTAATTTTTTTATTTAATTATTTATATTGGAATACTCATTCGTTTTTATTTAAGTGTCCCAATTTAAAACCGAGAGAGTATTACTTTTGACTATTTTGAATAATTTGAAACTTTTAATTTTTTTTGGGTGTTATACCTAGTTCACCCTTTGAGCTAATACGGATTCGAGGATCAGTTGTGGGTGGTTATGTTTCAATCCCTTCAAATTGTTGTTGCGGGGGATTGAACCACGACCCTCCCTACCAAGTGTAGCCCCAACCACTACTACAACAATAATCAAAACTCAAAAGGCTAATTAAAATGTTATAAGTATTTAAAAACGAATGGAGCATAATTCCGTAACACAGGAAGGGAAGAGAATGTAGTGGATGAGATCTCTCGCGAGTCAAAAGCGTTATCTTTTGGAACACAAAAAAGCCTCTCCTCTACAAACACTTGCCATTATTCACACAACATTCAGTGATAAGCAGAGCTTTGCTTGCTTACATCTTGTGTGCTCCGAAGCAAATGACGACTCGGATAATGGGACTCGGCGTTGGACTCGGTACCTCAACCCAGTCCCCTCCAACTTCATCTTCTTCCTCATTTTCTCTCTCTTCAACCCTTTCAACATCTCTTCGAACTAGTAGCAGTAATCTGCTGTTTGTAAATACTTGCTTGAATCGTCGATTAAGTATCCGAGTCAACTCAGTTCGAATTTCCTGCAACTCCCCGAGTTTCACTAAATCTTCTTCAGCTCTTCGTGTTCGAGCTTCTGCTGCTTCCTCCCAAGACCCCCAATCTCCTCAAGGTTTAATTTTTTCAAATTTTATTATGTTTCTGGATTTTATTTTTCTACTAACTGCAATGATGCGAACTGGGTTTTAGAAATTTGGATTGAAAAAATGGTGGGGTTTTTAAGAATTGTTAGAAATTACTTGAAATTGGCATTATCTTATTTGTAATTTTTTTTTTTTTTTTTGGTAAACTATTAACTGCAATGTTGAGAACTGTATTCTGGAAATTGAGGTTGAAGAAATGGTGGGATTTCTAAGAATTGTTATAATTTGCTTGAATTTGGTATTATATTGTTTTTTTTAATTGAAAGGCGCCATTTTTTATTTTTTTTAGAATGTATCGTTGACCATAGTCCATAGTATGATATTGAAGTTGATAGATTGGTTTGAGGTGAAGAATTATTGTGAAAATGGTTGAATATGAGTAATGTATGCGTAAATTTGTGAATAAGAATGTGTCAAATGAAGCCTAGATATGTACCCAACAAGATAAATGGTTGCCCCAAGCAAGCGTGTGCTGTTCCATCATCTTTATAGTATGATGATATAAATTTCATTGTCTAAAAGTTGATTGTATTAAAAGCATGTGGTGTAGTTATTTCGATCGCTACATGGAAGTATGATGACATATAGTTTAGGCGAGGGTTCTTAATATGAATGTGTATCTTGGGAGTTAGTAATAGCACTAAGTTTACTTTTTCTCTAACTGTTTTCACTATAATTCATTTGTACGAGAAGTGCTAAGTGTTACCACGGAAGTTCTTTTGAGACACAATTTGATGCATTGAGCACAATTTATGTGCACTGATCCTTTGATTTCGCTGATTATACTAAAGGCCTTCAACAATTATTAAGTTGTCAAGGAGAAAATTCGACCCTTCTTTGGTATGGTTTGCAATACGATGAGGCTAGGTGAACTGGTAATTGTTGACAAGTAGCTTTTAGAACTAACTTCTTTGTTCTGCCAAATGTTTTTATCCAATTTAACTTATGGAGATGTGGCATAATTTGACTAGTAAATGCAATTGACAGTCAAAGCATTTGCGGGGCTTGGATATATTACGTGGCAATTAGTAATTATGGATTTATTAGTAGTGAAAATCAAGAGTTGCTATTATTTGACATAGTATGCTAACTGTGACTAATTACTCTGAAATTTATGACCAACTCAAGATGTTAAATTGCAACTTCCACACTTCCATTTAAGAGTGTTGGTGTTTAGAATTTTGTAGTGTTAATGTTTGAAAGGACTGTATAATCTTGAGTTAGTGCAGAAATTGGAAGCCTTTATCTTTGTGTTTTTAAATGATTAGTTTTGTGTTCCAGTTGTTTGGGCTTTGACTTAACTGAGATTGTTTGGATACTGTATCCTATACAGCTGTGTGCTTGAGAAGTGGAAATCCTTGTATAATGCTAGCTACTTATAACTTGCAGGGTCAGGTGTTGAGAATGTGGTGATAATTGGCTCAGGTCCTGCTGGATATACAGCGGCAATTTATGCTGCCCGTGCTAACTTGAAACCAGTGGTCTTTGAGGGGTTCCAAGCAGGCGGTGTACCTGGTGGACAGTTGATGACCACCACAGAAGTAGAGAACTTCCCAGGGTTTCCTGATGGAATTACCGGCCCTGATCTAATGGATAGGTGAAGAATTGAACTATGAAATTTTCTAATTTAATATATATTAGTGTTTAAAGTGAAATTTAACTGTTGAAGTTCCTAACTTGAATTTCTTTCTGGATGTAGAATGCGGCGACAAGCAGAAAGATGGGGAGCAGAGTTGCATCAAGAAGATGTTGAATTACTTGATGTAAAAAATAGTCCATTTACTGTGCGGAGCAGTGAGCGTGAGGTGAGATTTTTCATACTGTTGCTCTGTCATCATCTATTAAGTTAGGGCATCTCATATGTGCTCTTTTTCTACTTTTATGAATGAGATATATGTTTTAAGTTTTGATAGGTTTGGGGGTGGCCAGGGTGGTATTGGCTAGTATTGCGCTTTGGACTGTAGTTGTGATGCTTAGAAAGGCTAAACATTATGATTGAGCTCCTTCATGAGCTTCCAGAAATATTGTTGCTCTGTCATCATCTATTTGATTTGGATTGATCTATTTTTGAGATGATGATGGACTAAGTAATTGGGTGGATTTTTGGGCATGATATCAACCTCTTTCTTTTCTTTTTGCATTTTCCCAGCCTCTTTATAGCACTGTCTACTGTACAAAGCACAACTATTTCAATTAAACAGACATCTTGCCTCTTAACTTCCACATCCATCTTAATTCACTTGATAGAAGTTGGGGATCTAGCATTCTAGCAGTCTATCAGAGTTGCTAAATTGGATGTGAATTCTTTGCTTTCATATATTATAATTGGCTCTGTTTTATGGGGAAGAATAACTTGACTGTATACATGGAACTTTTAGTAATGAATATGCCTTGAATCGTTGATTGAGTAGGCGAGCTATATATGATGAGATACATACATGACCATGCATCATATAGGACACGACTGTGTACCGTATTACTACTCTGCAATACACACGAGTACATAACCTTGTGCTTCATAGTACACCACCATGTGTAGTCCCGTACTACTGCTAGCAACACACACGACCATGTGATTTATAGTACACAACCATGTGTAGTAATATGCTGTTGCGCAATAGTGCGCAACTATGAAACTCATGCGGTCGTGCTTCGCGCGACTCTGTTGGTTTGGGCTGCGGTTTTCTGTTTGGGCCATAGCGCAATTTCGTTTCCATTTTGGGAGTACTTTAGCTGTGATTATGTTCATTATCAATCTGGAAAATGTAATTCCTCAAGAGTAATAAAATTTTCCTCTCGCTTGGCTGTGGACATAGCCAATGCATTGTTGGTGAATCACATAAATCTGTGTTCTTTTGTTTGTTGATTTTATTATCTTTCTTGCCGTTATAACAGTAATTGTTTGTGATGATCCGCTAGAACGACCTATAGATTATAAGGCATAGACCACATGATCACAAATGATATAGCGGTTTTATCAAAATTGGCTGAATTTCTAGGAGGATAGATATGCAATCATAAATCATCAATGTATAAAATTGCAAGAGTGTTTAGTGATTCAGATATCAGGTTTAGATGGTAGCTTGATGACTGGAATGTTAGAAATCTATGAATGTGAGTGATACAAGGGCTCAAGTCCTATTACAAGCGTTTTGTTTTACAATGTGAGCAGTCCAAACTCTCCAAAGTTCCAAACTACATAAGAAGATGACATGTTAGTGCATTGTGGCACTGTGTCAACTTAGAAAGGGGAGATATGTGGGAAGATATCTTGTCTTTGCCTTGGATTTTAAGAATAGGTGTGTGACTTATTTTATTTTCCATGATATGAATTTAATGTTTTTATGGATGGAGTGAGTAATTTCTGAATTTCCTTCTTTCTAAACAAGTCAATTGCTACATTCTATCTTGTTACAGAAAGGTTTAAAGCTATACTTTATTAATTAAAAGCCTTACATGTGAAGAAAGTTGATGTGCATCTTGATACTTTAATCTGGCCTTCAGGATTTTCTGGTTTGTTGCCTATGATCGACTACTGATTGAATTTAATAAAAAATTCTTTATCATATTCATCCTCAGATAAAATGCAATTCTGTGATTGTTGCCACGGGAGCTAATGCTAAGAGGCTTCGGTTGCCTCATGAAGATGAGTTCTGGAGCAAAGGAATAAGTGCATGTGCAATATGTGATGGGGCATCACCATTGTTCAAGGGCCAAGTCCTTGCTGTGGTTGGAGGAGGTGATACAGCTACTGAGGAAGCGATTTATCTGACCAAGTATGCTCGTCATGTTCATTTACTTGTGCGCCGAAATGAATTGAGGGCATCTAAAGCTATGCAAGATAGGTCAGTGTTGCTTTACTCATTATGCCTTCATTGAACTTCATCACTTCTTATTGCATCAATATGAGTGTCTGAACAGAGTTTATCGCCATCACTTAATAATGTGTTGTCTTGCCAGTTTCGAATAGTGTTGTCTTGCCAGGTTCGAGATGAGCTATAATGCTATATGATGAGAGCTATTCTAACATTTTTATAAGAGTATGGTTTGGGGCACTTAGTTCAGACTTTAGATCCATTGGGACCTGGCTGCAAAAGCCGTGTGTTCCTACCCATACGCCCCCTAGTTTCTAGGTATTCTTAGCTCCATCTCTGCTTGAAGCAATTGTGTCAAATGTTGCCAATGCAGGCCTTAAATAGTTAGCATTGTAGTCTCTTCGTCAAGTTGCTATTTTGTTGATGTGCAAGTAATGGTAGTTGTATTCATCACCTTTCATTCAATGGGAAAAGTGGAGTGATTAACTTTGGAGTTCAAGATTGATTGATTCAGATAAAACAAACAAATAGTTTCTAATGTGCATATGATAGGAGTTCCAAAAACATTGTGGTTAATATCCCATATTTTGTTAAAATCATAGGCCTACAGGAGTGCTTTAAAATGTATTTTTTCTTCATTGTGTTGTTCTTCACCCTTAAACTAGCCATTATTTCAATAATGTCATCGGATACTTCACCCTTTGTTTATGAAATAAAAAGATTGTACATGTGGAACAGCAAACGGAGAGTAAAGTAGGAACAAAAGGTGAATTCAATTATAACAGCTTCTAACAACTTAACAAGTGCTACAAAATTAACCAAATTGTTTTGAATCAACAAAATAGATTTAACTTTTAAAGCCCTGAAGCTCAGCCACTTCTGCTGCCAACAAAGCTAAATATATTTGATCTTTATTTTTTTTTTATATCTTATCAAAAAGCGAACCTTATCATAGAGGAATGCTGATAAATGAACTTGGGAATAGTTGAATCAGTGCTCACCAGTCACCAGTCACCAATATGTAGAAGACAATGACTGCCTAATGGTTTATGTGATGATATTCATGTGATATTTTTATGATGATGGAAGGTTATATTTTGCTAGCAGATATGTTCTTATTTTGGAACGTGTATCTGTTGTTGGGTTTTTTTAGCGCTACATTGTTAATAATAGTTGGGATTATTGAAATCCTAAATAGAAGATTTGGTTGTTCTTTGTCCAATAAAATATGTGAACCTGGGGAGAGGCTGTACAGCAGTAGTTTGGAATCTTAGATTATTTACATCTAAAGTTCCTTTTACCTTAACTTTTTAGTATACCATCCCTAATAACTCAAATGTTTTGTGTCTACATTTTTTCCCTTCCTCATATGCTTCCATTTTCTCACCCTTCTCCCTTTCAACTCCTGTTCTCCTAACTTCTTGTTTTCTTTCCTTTTTTCATTTATATAATTATGTATGTTATTATATATATAGGAAATATGTTGAGAGGAAAAGTTTGGTAAAGTGGTAGCATCAATCTTGGATTGCCTTAGAAAAAAGCATATTCCAAACTATTTGAGAAGGGGGTTATCTATGCTAAGGGTTTATTTTTACCCCCCTTTTTTTTAGGGTTATTTGACTTATTTCTAAATTCTCTATAATAAATGTATGTGTTAAAATACTTCCCTGCCGGCCATAAAATGATTTACAGTCATCTGCCTTCAAAATGCTGTACCCACACCGAAAAAAAAATAAATAAAAAAAAAAAATTAAATAAAAGGAACTGCCTCATCAAGGACATTTGCCTTTACTTTAGCAATTATTCGACCTGTTCATGGTGTTACAACCTGGGCGCATCTCTTTGTGTCTAGATAAGTTTACTAGAAAAGTTGATTTATTGAGTTTTCAAGTTTTCAACTATCTGAACGTTTGTTTAACAGGTTGATTATGGCGAATGTTTCAGAGTTTTCAACAACCCAAACATCACCGTGCACTTCAACACAGAAACTTTGGATGTGGTTGGCAATGCTAAAGGCCAAATGTCTGGCGTCCTGACTCGAAGATCTGATACTGGTGAGGAATCTGTGATCGAGGCCAAAGGTTTATTCTATGGCATTGGGCATTCTCCAAACAGCCAATTGCTGGAAGGTCAAGTTGAACTTGATAGTGCAGGCTATATTTTAGTGAAGGATGGCACTGCAAGCACCTCAGTAGAAGGTGTTTATGCAGCTGGAGATGTACAGGTACTGTTCTCTATATTTAATTTCATTTGCAGTACTAGAGTAATATTGTTACTTTCCTTACTTTGACCTTGAGTACTAATTATTAGAGTTTCTAAAAAATGATGAAGTAGAGGTTGGTTGGGAGAAAATAAGTATGTTGGTGGGACGATGCGGCTATTATACTAATAGCAAACTCCGCATCCATGACTTGGGAGTATTTAAAATCACACCTAATCTGGAATATTCAGGATGCTCTTCAAATTTGGAAATTTTCTATGGTACCTTGAGGTTTGATGAAAATTTCAAAATACCCCTGGTTTTGGGGTTACCTGAGGACTGAGGTACCCTTGGGGGCCTTGGGGCCTTGAGGTTTGATTTTTTAGCCAAAATGCCCTTATGAATGACAGATTGCTATCAGACGACGTAACATATCTAGTTTAACTTCATCTCCAATTTATATTGACCCCTGTAAGCCCCAAGTTCAATCATCATTCCTCTTTTATTCTTAAATTTTCTCTTCCCAAAATCTCTCTCTATTTTGGATTTCAAAAAATTCCTCTATCACCATTGAATTATTGGCGTGGTCTTAAAATCTTGATATAACGGATATTTATTTTGTTGATTTTAACCTCATCGTATCTTGTAGTAGCTGGTCAATAATTTCAATGAAAAATAAAATATTTGTAACTATGGTTTTCAGACTCCAATTAATCTCAACATAAAATGCTTTTTTTTTTTTTTTGAAAAAAAAATAAAAAGGAGAGCACTGGTTATGTTGCCTATAAATTTTTTAATTACGTTGCAAAATGATGTTTCAATTAAAATTTGCCGAACACCATAAATCCTAAAATTAAATGTTTGTTAGCAAATTCTTCATTAGAGTAGATGGTCTTTACTACCAAGAATTAGATTTAGGGTTCTGATATGGTATTAAAGATATGCATACTATTTGATCTGAACTTTACCTGGTAATAGAAAATTTTTGGATGAAAGTTGTGTGGTTACTGCACAATACATCTAAATGATGCTTCAAGCTACAGCTGTCTTAGTCTGAAAAGTTCTTACATGAGTAATTGGACAAGCAGGATCACGAGTGGAGACAGGCAGTTACTGCAGCTGGATCTGGGTGCGTTGCTGCTATGTCAGTTGAAAGATATCTTACAAGCAAGAATCTTCTAATTGAGTTTCATCAGGTACTTAATCAACTAAATTGTTCACTTATCTTACATACTCCATGGGACTTTACTGCATAATTTATCAAATTAAAGAAAGTACTCCGTATTAGATATTTATTCTGTCCTCTTCTAAGCTCTATAATCTATTTCTAATCATACATGTTTGCTTGAGCTGTTAAATCGAGACTAATGTCCATGAATGTTTTTGATGCCGAATGGCCTATACTATACCAATTTCTATGCTTCTTTCTTGATTTGTATTTTGTAAATTCTTCATCTCCTATCCCATTTAAGTATTTACAAAATCTGTCTGCTCTTTCTATTGCTACGTAGTAATAAGGAAACAGGAGGGATGCTTTTAATGCCATGTAAGAGTAAAGGCAAAATGGTGATCTTATAATCAGCCGTCATTTCTGTGCTATTTGTCTACATCTAATGCCTTCTTCTGTGACCTTATGTTGACAGAAAGTTTGCGTACATTGTCACTTCGTATAATATTACAGATTGAATTATATTGATGTTAGCATACTCTATGTTAAGTAAGTTTCAAATTTAAGAAATTCATGCTTCAATCACTACTTTTTTACAGCCACAAAGAGAAGAGGCTAAAAAGGAACTCACTCCTCGTGATGTACAAGAGGGTTTTGATATTACCCGTACCAAGCACAAAGGCCAGGTGTCTTTTCACAACCTCGTTACTGCCCTTGATGGCATGTGATTTTCTATTTTTTTCTCAACCATATTTATTCATTTAGTTGATTCTGCTGTTCATTGGCAGTATGCTTTACGGAAGTTGTATCATGAAAGCCCGAGGCTTGTATGTGTTCTCTATACATCACCAACTTGTGGACCATGTAGGACCTTGAAACCAATACTTAACAAGGTATGGTTACTCAAAATCTATATGTATGTGTAGATAATAGTTTGCACTATGAATTGAAAAGGACATACAACTGTGTACACTGCTCGTAGTACTTCTGATGCATATTATGGGGTTGAAAATGGTCAGAATTTTTTGTGTTTGGAAGTCAGATGGAGTGAGAATGATTTTTGACTTTCTGAATGTTTTGAGTCATGGTGGAGTTTCGCAGTCACCTTCCCTTCTCTGCCCCCCACTGGCTACATCAATCATTACAACCTACGTCATCCTACTGTCCATATCTAACAACTAAAACCTCGCCATCCTCAGCCCACCACATCAATCTAACCACTTCTACCATCCCTCTGATCTCATCCCACCACTATCAGCAGCTGCATCCTACTGTTTCCACCTAACCAGTACCAAATATGGGGCCTGAATGTAGACAGGTAAAGAAAAAGATTTAGAAATTACACCACCACCAAGATTATTGTAAAGATGAAATGTTCCAGATCTGAAATTTCTCTATATTTCAGAAACAATACTGCAAAGGTGGTGGTGCGTGACTGCGTGAGGGTTGTGGTGGGAGCGATGGTGGTTTATGGATCTAGTGATTAGGGGGGAGGAGAAGGGTTGAGGAGAAAGGAATTAGATTTGAGGGTCAAGGTGTTGGTGGTGTTTGCATTTTATGGGCGGGTGGTTTTGGTGGGTTAGGGGTGGTGGGGTTCAGTGAGAAAGATTGTGGTTTTAAATGAGGATGGCTGAGGTGGGTGGGGACCGTGGGGGGTGAGTAGTGGTTTTAATGGGGAGGGTGGTGGTTGGTTATGGACATGGTGGTTTGGGGTTGGGTTGAAGATAGAGAAGGATTTTATTAGGAAGGGCGGGAACGACTTGTTGATTAAGGGCACATGTGTAGTTTTGTAGTATAGTTAAAAACTATTTATAGTTTGGTCAAGTATTGTGATATTTCCATATTATTATACACCTTTACCTTGCATAAAATCTTCTCTTGTAATGGCAGGTAATTGATGAATATGACCAGAGCGTTCATTTAGTTGAAATAGACATCGAGGAAGATCAGGAGATAGCAGAGGCTGCTGGAATCATGGGTACACCTTGTGTACAATTCTTCAAGAACAAGGAAATGATTAGGTTGGTCATCTAACCTGTAGAGTAGGGTCCTTCACTGTTATGTGTATGCAACATCATTCTCCATTCCCTATCTTGCTTGGTGTTCTGATGACCTGAGCTTTTCCCACAACTGTTTTGTTATCGTCACTTTCTATTAGTTCTCCTTCCAATAAAAAAAGGAACTCGATAATTTGGGTGTGGAGAATTTTTGTGGTTGTCACAGCTAATTATCAAGTTCTCTAAATACACAATTGACTGAATATGACCTCTTTTTATGCATATCCAGGTCTATTCCAGGAGTCAAAATGAAGAAAGAGTACAGAGAATTTATAGAGGCAAATAAGTAAGGTCATTTCATCTTGGCACATACCATTGCTTTGCGGTTCAATTTTGTACCTCTTCAGCCATATTCTTGACAAAAATGTTGTCGTATTTGTACATTAAGGAGAATTTTTGGAACACCTTATTCGTATATTAGGCATTTTTAGCCCTCAATTTTTGACTTCGGGTTTGCAAATTCTTGTCTTTCTTTGGACAAATCGACAACTTTGTGAAATCATTACAGCTACCAAATTGTTGTGTAGCACATATGCCAGTTTTATGACTTTATTTAATTCCCTTAATGATGTATCTGGTTTTCTTTTTCTTTTCCTTTGACGTATAGGATGCTGTTTACTAGCAGCATACTTATGGGTATAATGAATGTTTCTAATGGCGATACATCTCTACTACCACGTGTATTACTTTGTATATATCGAAGTATCTTGGTTCTTTCGACGGGCAAACTTAGATGTTGGTTTGAGCAGAAGACCTTGGTAGTAGAGAAGCTGTACTACATTACTACGAGCATTTACAGAATATTTCCTGAGTGAAAAAAAATGCTCAGTCATTCCATACGACATTCGGACATTGCACTAAATGAGAACCATACATATCAATGCTTTAGTAGTTGATTTACTTGATTGTTACATACGAGAAGACTAGGAAGCATCTTTTGTGTACTCATCAACATTGTAATAGTTAGAGATGTTGATGAGTCTAGCTATTTCGTGAATTATTCAAGCTCGGCTTGAAATTTCTAAGAGCTAACAACTTGATTACTCGTGAACATGCTTTCGATACACTAAACAATATTGAATTAGTGCAAGGATGTAAAATATCCGAACCAAATTTGAGTGTTACGGCAAGTTGAATCCGAGTTTAGCTTGAGCAACTCATTCTAAACATTAAAAAGCATAACCAAAACATTATGATATCATCGAAATGTAAAATCCGACGATTAATCAAAACTTTCAAGTACTTACAAAATCAAAAGTTAGGGTTTCAAGTTTCAATTAACAACAAAGAGAGCTCATAATCATGAAAAAAACACTAATAATCCATAATAAACCCAGAAATCCGCCATTAAAACAAGGTCTGTTCTTCAACGGTAAGACTTCTGGAACCTAGCACGAGCACCACGACCACCAAACTTCTTAGGCTCACAACGACGAGGATCAGCAACAAGCAAAGTACGATCATACCTCACAAGAATATCTTTGATCTCCTGCTTCGTTTGTTCATCGACAAACTTCTGGTTGTACGCAACAAGAGCTTTAGCAATACTCTGTCGAATCGCGTAGATTTGAGAAGTGTGACCTCCTCCTTTGACGCGGATTCTCATGTCGACGCCATTGAAGCGCTGACGACCGAGTAGAAGGATTGGTTCGAACACCTTGTATCGGAGAATCTCTGGTTGAACTAGCTCGATTGGTGTGCCGTTGATCTTGATTAGACCTCGGCCTTCTTTGCAGTAGGTGACTGCGACGGCGGTCTTCTTGCGGCCGAAGCATTGGACTGAGTGGAGTTGTTTGGGGGCTGGAGTCGCCATTGTTGGAGGATTGAAGCTTTTTTCAGAAATGAGTTAGGGGTTATATTAGGATTAGGGTTTTGTGGGAGAAATTAGGGTTCTGAGGTTCTGGTTTTGGGCTTAGGGTAATAAGAGGAACGACTTTTAAAATGGAGGGAGTTATTTCAACGATCCACTAAATTATTCCTATAGGATTTGTACCACAAGTGCTCTCAATCTTATCATAATAATGCATAGTATACTCCGTAAAAGTTGTTGCTGGCAAAAGTTGACACGATAGGAATTAAACACGAAAAAAAAAGGTTAGTGTTAAGGGTTTATAACTCGTTTAAAGATCAATACAACACAACACGTTAAGTTGAATATGTCAGTTTGCATAGAGATACCCCACACGATAAACAACATTTTTGTAGAATCATAAATATATTGATCAAGGGCTAACTCTTTTTTATATAACATGACACGAACCGAACACAAAAAAGCAGGTTAGTGTCGAGGTCATCATGTTTATTTATATGGGTCAACACGACATGTATATTTAATTAAATGGATCAAGAGTTGATACTTCTAAACTTGTTATGTTCGAACGCAAACACAAACATGACACTTCAGCTCTTTTAAAAATACTCTCGGCAAAATAGGAGAAACTAATTACCATAACATGCGAACAGATAGTTTTCCTATTATTGCTATGATGAAGTTCTACACTTTCGAATCATTTGGTAGGGTGTGATAAAGGATTGTAAATTTGTAAAGAGATTTATGCCAATATTTATGCAACAATGCCCCTCATGTTTTACTTCATAATTCTACGTTACCCTATATTGACGAAAAAGCAAATGTTCATTCTTCACTTGCTATACAATAACAACAGATTCGATCATCAGTTCGAATAAAATACACCTTACAAAATTGTTGAAGATACAGGTTGGCATACATCGGGAACATCATCAAGGATGAAATGGCCAAGTTTACCCATCCTAAACAAAGTCAGAAATTTTTTTGAAGCCTTTGCACGGCATTCTGAAGCAGTTTGTGGTATTTTAAATGCCTTCTGAAGTGCTTCAAACTGCAATTCTATGAGGCTCTCCATGTCGTTTTCATCTTCAAGATTACCATCAAAATTTAAGAAAGAAGCGGTAAGTGCACATTGCACTTCTGTTACAATATCCTGCATACATTATTCAGATTAGGACCCCTCTAAATTGCTAAGCAAACTAGCAAAATCATTCCACATGGCAATGAACATGTTGAATCTCTATGTAGAAACACAAGTTAAGGTTAGCTAACAAAGCAGGTTGGGCTAACTACATCTGAAAAAGAAGCAGCACATCACGCATGAAGAAAAATATGTACTGAGAACACAAAAATCTGATGTTGAAACCTAAAAGTCTAAAACACTCGCTAAAAGAAATTTCCAGCAGGCATAGTCTCCCCTTGTAACCTCCTTGGCTGCTACTGGCGATAGAGCTTAAGCTATTTGTGATGTTTACACAAATGGTAATAAAGTTTCCAATACAGCTATACATGACAGTAGAACATATTACGAGAGATGAAAAAAAAAAAAACACCAAATAGCTATTCCACCAGTTTGAGACTGTGGACTTATCTCTGTTACACAACCAATTGTGACTTAAGATGCAATCAGTTAACCTTAAATCTGGTTAGTACAAGCATTGTAGACCACTAGACCTCACCTTCACCATCTTATCCTGACAAGACCTAAGAAAGTAAAGTGCTCTTTCATTCTCAATACTATCGGTCCTGCTGCCTCTTCTACACCCTTTCTGTGTTGCTAAAGACGTCTGGAAATCAGAGGCTCCAAAAAAACTCAAATTGGCGCTCTCTTTTACAACATTCATTCTTTTGCTGGTTATCTGTTACTGTATAATTTAAGCAAATCCCACCATACAGAACTTTCAAATAATTTCTTAATTTCAATTTTGGATTAGGAGCAAAAACCTCGAATGTGGCTCTCTTTCTAACATCCTCTCCTAGTATCTTTAAGGATATGAAAATTGAAAAGGATCTTCATACAACAATCCTTAGAGTCAAGTCAACCTCCGCCCACCCCCAACTCTTTCCTAGCAATTTCATCTAATGAGTGCGTCACTCATTTCCTTTGTAAACAAGACTTGACACCTAATCATTTGGTGTTTATGTTTGTGAAATGTGGAAAAAAGAAACTGAACCATGGTAGTTGGGACAACTACATAGTAACTACACCCTATGGACCAAATAAAACACATAAAATCAAGGCTTCACTTATCAGGGATTGTGTTAGGTTTCCAGCTCAGTATTGATACAAAATTATAGGCTAAATACGCCATCATTCAAAGTTTAAATGTCTCATGTAAGAATTGCTGCTCAGAAGATATTCATTGGAATCCAGAAAAGTTAAACCTATCATGGTACCCTAGTTTCAGGTCTAAGAAACTAAAAGTTGTAAAAGTAGAAATTATACCTCAATATAATAGAAACTAAAAGTTGTAAAAGTAGAAATTATACCTCAATATAATAAACAGCAGAATCATCTGGTGGCTTCCTTCTGTTTGGCAAAAGATCCTTTATGCTGTATTCATGTTTTCCCTCAGAACCATTCTGAAGTCCTTTCTTCCGATCATTCAAATTCTTCCAATAAAGAGGAGTCCCACGGCTGTTGAATACAGCAAGTAGATATTGAGCAATACGCTCTTCACCTACAACTGAATCCTTTACAGATCCTGCAAGGACACCAATGAGTTCAACAACTCAGAAGAAATTTGAGCGCTGTTATCCCTCCTATACAAACATGCTAGCCCCAAACTTGGCAAGATAAATACTTCAGATTGTTGTATCAAGAAAAGGGCAGAATGAGACAGCAAGAAAGCAGATGCTACTCTATATTCTGGGTGAAGTTGAGGGAAATGCATCCGAGAACATGAAAGTACCTAGATGAAGTATTGCAAAAGAAAGCCATGAATACACTATCAACTATATATCTAGGACTGGTTACTTATTCTGGTATTAGCATGGCGTAAACAGCCAAAGTGTACATATATAGGACTGGAGAGAACAAATGCAAAGTTAAAGGAAAGCACTATCTTAAACTTACAAACAACAAAAACCTATTTATTAATTAAGAATATTGAACAATGAACATTATATATTGCAGAGTGTAGACAGCTGCAAATGAACAAAGTGATTATCAAGCCCAAAAAGTTTGGTAGCTTACAACTCAAACTGAGGCATAATGCAGAGGTAAATAAAGATTTATAATCCACTTGCATAAGTAACATCAGATGAAGAAACCAACCTGTCGCAGCTAATTTCAAGCCTGTCTCTATATCTGGAATACTAGGAACCAACACTCCTGGTGTATCAAGAACATAAATGCTAGGCTGATGTGCAATCTGTGCAAATTGTAAACAATTTTTAGAGTGTTACCCACTTCAAAACATATTCACACGGTATATAATACAAGATTTGCATGCAGAAGAGGCATGGGGGAAGAGAGAGAGGGGGGGGGGGTTGGAGCTGAAAGTGAATTCTGATTCAGAACTCTGTACTCAACATGTTTGTAGTTTTTTATTGGTACCACTAAATGATTTCTGCAAGGACGCATTGAATAAAATAAAAGCACACTTGACCTTGTATCCAGCAATATCCTGAGTAACTCCGGGCAATGGTCCCACAATCGCTTTTTTCATTCTCTCCTGCACTATGAGGAACATTTAGGTAATTATTCAATAGGGTGAAGTATCCTTAAAAATCAACCAGTTGACCACTGCATAATCAAGTTCAGACCAAAAAAAAAAAAAAAAAAAACTTTACTGAAATTACCAGGAAAGTGTTCAGCTGAAATCCGATGGATGTTATTAATTAAAGCTGACTTGCCAACATTTGGAACACCAACTACCATAACAAGCAGTGTAGGTTCCCTGGAAATGACCTCTTTAAGCTTCAGCTCCACAAGATCCAGCAACTGGAAAAATACAAAGGAAATTAGAAAACCAAATTAAACATTCAACATGTGAAGTTATCCATAAATAAATTGCAGAAATATCAGATGAGTAGGTACAACCTTGATGGTGAATCAGGAAAAGGAACAATGCCAACTTATTGACCTCAATTCTTGTCAAGGAAGAACTGGATTAGAGTATATTATAAGTCCAAAGCTTAGGAACAAGGTTTCTTAAGATTGCTATATCTCATGCTTCTAGCACTAGTAAAGGGTTCTCAAGAATTCTTCCGGTCCTCTGATTTGTTTTTGTTCAATTATGAGAGTGAGTGTGTGTGTGTGTGTGTGTGTGAGAGTGAGAGGGGGAGAGAGAAATAAAGCAGCTCTCAGGACCTTAGACTACAAGAACCTTTGTAAAGACATGAGAGATGGAAGAGACGTGAAACTGTACAGTTGGACATCACCTTTAGTTATTTGATGTTTATCTTCCTTATATTATGGCTACATTTTTAGGGTCTTACTAGGTCAATAAATTTGCAAAAGGAACACCTTTGCACAGTTATCCTCATTGGACGTTGGACCTTCTCTAAATACAGAGTATATAGTAAATCTGTAAATGTAGCACCGATGACACCTACAATTGGAAAAGCAAATTACAAATTTTTCGATGACACAAAAAAGTATCAGGTTGTTTTCAACAATGCAGTCCACTGCCAAGAAAATCATTACAACATATTTGGGTGAGCTGCTATTTCCTGGGCATTCTAACATAGCAACAGTAAAATATTTAAAGAATTTATGCCACTAACATAAATCCTTAGTAAACCAAATTAAAAGACATGATTATAGCAAAATTAAAGAAACCATTTGGAGCAAACAGAACTTTACACTTCACTAACCTTTTTCACAGAAGTCTTGCTATGAGCATTAATCGAAAGGCAATCTTGTTTGTCAGACTCGAAATATTTTATCCATTTCTGCCCAAAAAATATAAAAAACTCAAGTAAACAAAATCCAAACTCGATTGTAGGTCAGTAACCCACTTAATAATACAACTGTCTTCAACTGCTTAAGCCATAATTGCACAAGCAATGCCATGTACAGAACACAACTAAAAGAACAATGTTTAGCAATTTATTAATGTTTCACAATAAATCCAGCTACAATTATCCCAACACTAGGTCCAGGGGTGGCAGTGGTCAACCGCACTAGGCCCCCAAGATACAAGGGTTTCAAGTAAGAAAAATTTAATTGTTTGCATTGATAAAAAGGAAATTTTAGACTCATTGGGAGAGGTATGTTCAGCTCAATGCTAATAATGTTGGTTTTTTATTCTCATGTCAACAATTTGTCTTTTAAATCCTTTGGTTTCAATTTTTCCAAATTTTATAAAAAACATTTTGAACTATGAAACAAGGGCCCAATTTTAAGAAATCGTATAAGCCCCATTTGTCTTTGCCCCGCCCGCACTAGCTATCTTCCACCACCTCTACTATCACAACATCAAAACCAACAACAATGTAAAAGCCTTAATCCTAATTAAATGAGATCCAGTGATCGGCTACATGAACCAAGAATTTATCTCCAAAGGATGTCTACAAAGTCGACAAAACCCTCTTCCTCAATTCACTATCTATCATCCACCATAATAACATTAAAAAAAAAAAAAAAAAGCAACTTCATCAAAACATGTTAATAATCATACATTCATACACAATATTTCACCAATTACTCAAAACTAAGATTAAATTAACGCACACTATTATAAAATTAAACCAAAAACAATAACATACAGGTAAAATATTAGGATTAGCCAAATCTTTCTTGTTGAGAGCAACAATACGTCTTTTACCAGTGAGAAGCGGCTGAAGTTCCTCATTTTGCGAAGATAACGGAATCTGTTAATCATCATAAATTCATAATCATATCATCAAAAATTCAAATCCCAACCAATAAACTGAAAACAAAATTCAGAAAAGTGAGAAAATGAAGAGATGATTACACGAGAATCGCGAACTTCAATTACGAAATCAGCGAGCTTAAGGCGGTCTCTAATGGCGCGAGAAGCAGCAGCCATGTGACCAGGGAACCAATTGACTGGACCACCTCCTTTGTTGAACCCCATTTCTCCTAAACCCTTTTTCATTACCTTCTTTAGAACCACCATTGTTGAGTGAGGTTTGATAATGGCGGAAAATTGTAGAAGAATGAGTAGTTTGTACAGTGTAGTGTTAAACCCTTTTTTTCTGTAAAACCCCTCTTTTTTTTTTTTTTCTTTTTTTTTTTTTTTGATGAATTGATTACATGGGATTTTCTGTTTAACTGTCCAGAAAGAATAAACGATGTTTATAACAAAGCTCGGTCCACAAATAAATTATGACCCAATGACTGTGTTTGGTATATTTTTTTTTATTTTTTTATTTTATTTTATTTTTTTGGTTAAAGTGGTAAATAGCTTATTTGATCAACATTAGCTTATTGGCTTTTAAATAAGCTAGCATAAGGTGTTTGGTGGAAGCTTATCCAAAGAGCTTATTTCACTAAATAAGCTTTTTTTAAAAAATAATTCTTGTAAGAGCTTTTTCAATTAGCTTATTCAATTCTTACAGTGAAATGACACTTATATCCTTATTTAATTTTAAATCCTACTTGAACTATCTATCCCACAATTAGGTTATTGGTCATTTCACATAATTAAACAACTTTAAGCAATCAACTATTTATCAAACACTTTTATACAATTAGCTAATAAAATAAGTTAGTCAAATCAGTTAATACAAATCCAGCTAACACAATTAGCTTCAACTTTTCACCAAACACGACCCAATATCTTTTTTGTTAACAAAATTGATCCGACTTGAAAAGAGTGAGTTTTGAACAAGTTTTACTCTCCCTGTTTTAGATTAATTGAAACATTTTAATTGATAGTCTGCTACTTGTGCCAATAAACAATTGTTGCGATTATTACAACATTTACTTTTTATATAATGGTAAAAATTATACCCGTGATCAAAGTAAATATATAAATTAATAGTGAAAAAGTTAAATTATTGCGACTAATTAGAAACAAAGGTAGTACATTACGAGTTACCTGAGTATTATCTGAACACTCCATTCGATGCAAAAGAAAAATTGTATATATTTAGTAGAAACCAATCAAATTAAGTAAAATTGTTTTCTTTAATAATTACTCCATTTATCCCAAATTAATGTGCCCACTTATCTTTTTTCGTTTGTCCAATTTAGTATGCTTTTTTTCTCTCTTTGGAAAGAATTTACAACGTGGTATTTCTCCAAAAATTACTCTTCCCACTGTTAAAAATTAAATCTCAATCCTCTCACTTTTTTTTTAGATATATACTTGTGTAATGCAACTAAAATCCAAAGTAATAATTATTAACTATGCTCCAAAACTCCTCCCTTGATGAGGTACACTAAATTAGGACAAATAAAGTACCTCTTTAAAAGGAAAATATCGCAATATTTGCAACACACTATAATTAGAATTTTTTTTTTTTTTTTTTTTTTTTTTAAGTTGTACTATTTTCCTTATATTGATCTCATGGCTCACTAAACTCTAACCATCTCTCACCCTCATTTTAAGTATATTAAATCATATGAGCCCTACTTATCTTAAATACCGTGAAAAAGTGTGTGTTGCAAATATAAAGAAACGAAAGAAATAATATTTTCAATATGTAAAATCAATAAACTCCAAAATAATAATATATATTTTTTTTTTTTTGAAAGGACCACAATAATAATGTTAGTTAAACACAAATTCATAAAAAATCAAATATACGTGTAGCATACTTTTTACATGAATTATTCGAAGCATTTTCTCAACCTTGCAAAGTTGCGATAGCAAAATTAATAAATAAAATACATCGAATTTTCTAAAGAGGAATGAAGTAAAAGAAATATTTTGTTAGATATAATGAGCAGAATACCTCATTCTCTTGTGAAAATGACAATTCTAATGTAGTTTTTATTTTCTTTCTTTTTGAGCAAAAACACTTGCCAAATGCCAAAGTCCCACCCATTTTCTTCATGAGCATGTAATTAAAAATTAAAGGAAAGGTGAGAAATTATGCTTCTCAAATTATAATTTCAAACTCGATCTAAGCTTGTCTTTTATTGGTGATCATCAATGTTAGTGTTAGTAATCTTAGTTTTGGTATTACTTTCAGCTAAGTGGCTTTATATATATATATATATATGCTTTTATTAGTCTTACCTAGCTAGTGTGAATTCAATCTATATTAATCTAAACGTCACCAAATCAGTTAATGAGAGAGTGAGGGATAGCTCAAGTGGTTAGAGCTTTCTTTCCGATTCTAAGAGATTCTGGGTCTCAACCCGCCCTTGTGGCTCTCTAAACACCCAAAAAAAAAAAAAAAAAAAAAAAAAAAAACCAAAATCAGCCAATTAAATAAAGCTAATGTTATTGTTAATGGATTCTCGAAATTCTGTAGTTGATACATTTTTTTTTATATTTGCTAACGCAATATTTCAATGATTATATTTTGAGACGTATCTATTATCTAACAAGACCCTAGCTCACATGACTATGTTTTAAATCACAAAAATTAGTCAAACTAGGTATTGTAAATAATGTCTAAAGACAAAATATGTCAGCTAAAAAAATTGAGGAAGTATTTAATTTTAACATCGGGAATAAGGGTCATGTACTATGTATATAAATTATTTTGATTGATTTAATTTGTTTGTTTACATTATCTAATCTACTTATCTCTTCCTCGATCAAAGTATGTGGCGTATGACTTTGTTGCAAGTAAAAGACCATGCATGAAGTACTATGCATATAAAGTTATGTTACCTTATACGCGTAGTATGTATCACCAACTAAGCCCCTGTTTAGCTCACCTTATTTTTGCTTATTTGAATTTATCTGATCTGTCTGGTCTGATCTGATCTGATCTGGTCTGATCTAATCCGATCTGGTCTGATCTTGATATCTGATTTGACCAAACTTTGACCTTAAGTGTATGATAATCTGTAAGGAAAAAAGATCTTGTTAGATTCGTAATATTGTGAATTTTATTAATATGTAATTTTCATAATTTGTTTCATTACAAAATTAAAGATATTTAACGATAAAAAATTGCACATAAAACGATGATGTGATCTAAACTTATTTTTTCTAAAATAAGTAAAAATAAGTTGAACTAATAGTAAAGATAAACCTATTAGCCTTTAGATTGAATATAACGTTCGATCCTCACTATGAGCACTTTAAATAGGAACTAATAGTAAGATAAAACCTATCAGCTTTAAGATTGAATATAACATTCGATCCTCACTATGAGCACTTTAAATAGGAAGTTGAACGAAGGTATCTATACCTTTATTAACCTTTCCCCAGTCAATATAGATTGATTTGGGAGAAATTCCAAAATTATATACATGACAATATGAGTATTGAGCTCCAAGCCTCCAAATGTGGGCACACTCTTCGTGCTTTTGACGCAGAGAATATATTTCCATGCAAGTGCATCATGCAACATAAAACTCATGCATGATTCAACGTACAATATACATCATACATCCATAGATCGTCCATTAAATTTCAAACCATATATCTCATTTTCTTTGTTCACATGCATGTATAAAATCATATGTTAATTATCTAAACGAATATATTATAATATGGCAAACATGACGGACGACCACAACTCCACAAGAATATGTTCATTCTTAGTGATCCAAATATGTGTATAAATAGATAACCTCTTCAGCCAAAGCACATCACAACTCACTTACTAGTTACTACTACTACAACTTTGTTATTTCCAAGCTTCTTCAATCACCTCTCAACAAAATGGCTCAAGCAATCGCCCAGGTTCGTACAGAGTTAGCTTGCTTTGATCCCATAGTTTTTCTCTTTCTTTGTACATAAATTTAAATTGATTTCTTCAAGCTTAATTATTTGATTATATATGTATGTTGACGTTAACTTTATATTTTGGCAGAAGCACATGATTGAACAATACGGACCTTATGGTTCTCAATGTCCTGAAAACTACAGCTTTCAACTTCAGGAAGGTGAAAGTATCAAGGAAGTTATAGTAAGGCATGGGTTCATTGTGGATGCAATTGGGTTCGTCGTAGCTAAGCCATGTGGAGGCACCTACACCAAGATGTTTGGTGGCACTTGTGGAAACGAGTCCAAGGTTAATACGCAATACCCTACTTGTACCTATTCAAGTTTTCAAAAGCATTTAAGCATGCTCATAGAGTATGTAAACCAATCTTGGTTATACTAGCTTTAATTCAACCATTAGCTTAAACTTTTGGTTGAGTTGATCATGTCACACGTATTTAATTCCTAATTTTCAGGCTTCTAACATGTTATTCGTTTACCTCCACTTTATATGCATGTACAAATAATCAAATATAGATTGTGCTCAAGTGCGGTGAAAAAATAACTGGAATTAGCGGTACCAATGGAAACTACAAATATCAACACAACCAATGCGTGATTGCTACAATGAAGATCCACACCAATTTCTGTCCAACTGGGTATGGACCATTTGGACAAGGAAAGGGAATTGAATGCTCAGCTAAAGAATTCAAATCACCAATGCCACTCGACGGCCCTGTCGTCGGAGTTTTTGGAAGGCACAACAACTATCTCGAGTCTGTTGGAATTTTCGTCAAGAAGATGGTAAGACATGCATGATTATTCATAAATTTTTAAGAACACGTACAAAGATTTTTCATAACGGATATTGCTAATTCTTATTTGTTGTATGCACCTAATGCTTTTATTGGTTTTCATGTCAAATTGATCAGGGTTGCCCATGCGCTAATTAAGTATGATGCTGAAGCTATCGTGATAGCCTCTAGCTTTCACGGTTTTGCCTTGGAGTTTATACGTTTCCAATAAGTCACATATATGTACTATATAGTACAAGGTGGCCTCTCAAGTGTGATTGTTTGTCACCAATAATCAACTTGAGTGATTGTTGTATCATTTTCTACTTTTAATATATAAATACTATCTTCAACTCTCGGTATATCAGTGTCTTATTACACCATCTCTAAAAGCTAAGGAATTGGTATATCAATGTCTTATACTTGTACGTTAATAATGCCTATGTATAGGAATGCAATTGTTGTTAAAATTTGAACTAGTCCGAGAACCATATAGGTACTAAAATGACTCAAATCAAAATATAATCAAACAATTGATAAATTGGTGACCTTTAACCTATCGAACTCGACCTAATTATCAACAAATTTGACCCCATACTCGATCGACTAGAACCAAAATAATTACAATTTAACACAACATGTTATTAACCCAATTTGTGGTATCCCTTAACTCAATTTTATCCAATACCCATCTAGAAAGTAACATGAAGCCAAAAGTTAACCTGACCAATTTTAAATCCAACCCCATATAGTTAGAACAAGTTCGACCAAAGTTCACCTTGAGAATTTGTTAACAATGTTAAAAATATAAAAATATATAGTTGATCAAAAAATATATATTACTCCCAGTAGAATTGTTTGCTAACATTCATTATGCTTATGA